ACACACACACACACACACACAAAGTATGGTATTTTTGTGACATTTATCTATTGCTTCCGATGCTCAAAAGTAAAATAATTATGCATGTATAATTAAACAAATTATATATATTCAACACGGAACTATATCTTATAATACTCTGCAATGTGACACAAATTTATTGATCATTCCAGATCAAAAGCGATCATTCGTGATATAAAAATAGAGTCTAACGTCCCTATAGTTTTGTAGTGTAAGACTTATCGTGCAAAATAATAATATATATTAAAAAACAGCAAATTATTTTCCAATGAGTTTTATGCAAGCAATGCTTCTTTGATACAGTGGGAGAATAGAAAATGTTATTTGCAGCTGAAATTAATAGTTATTTAATACAGATATCTCTCTCTCTCTCTCTCTCTCTCTCTCAATGTAGGAATAGAATACGATGCATTGTTAAATAGATATTCCATAATAGATAAAATATAATAGATTAATGTAATTCCGACAACTTATTCTGCGACGCGACGCATAAATATGGCATTTTGAGATTCGCACTGTTGTTTATATAATTATAAAAATCGTGTGATACTAAACAGCGTTCAAGAGCTGTGATGTTACTGCGACGACAAACTTGATATTTTCGCGGCACTTTGATGTGTACTTAATGCACAAGAACGCGATATATAAATATTTTCTTGAATCATAATTCTGGGTCTTTCTAGACATTGTGATTTTATTTGTTTTTCCAGATCAGAGGATATCTATGATGCCGCGATGAGAGTTCGATTTTTTAAAATTCTAATTAACATGGTCGGAGCAAATTTTATCTCCAAATTACTTTGTGATATTAGTTTTTTATATTAATCTTTATGCACTGCCTATGTAGATTATAATATATTATATATGTATATATATATATATATATACTATATATCATATTGTGTATGATATGTATTGCAAAATATGAATTATGTTAGATATAGTGATTAGTTTGAAATTTATGATAATTTTGCAACAACAAACCATTATACAAATGCATATAAAGCTAGATTATTCAAAGACCCTGGCCTTCTATTGTGGAACATGCTGAGCCTTGATTAAGTTATTTTGCTACTTTTATAACGTATAATGGTAAAAATTGAGTAAGAATAATAATCGGGTATAAAATATTTATGCTAAATATAATATTTAATACTATTTAGTATAATGATAAATATACACGAGCTACAAGTTAAAAAAACTTTGTGCGCGATTACAAGGTTTTTCCCTTTTAAACATTATCTTTCTGATTTTAATGTATCAATCATATTTAATTGTATTATAAATAATTGCACTGATAACTTTCAAAATAATTCATAATCCATTAATCAATATTATTATATTCTCTTGTGACAAGCTTGTCAAATTGCTCCCATGATTTTTACTAATTTGTAACCCGTTCCACGAGAGAGGTATGATCCATATATATATCCAACAGTATTATAGAATATTTTCAAAAAGCCATGTTGTAAATTAATCAAACGTTAGATTATGACATATATACATTTTTACTAAATATTCTTTGGTAGTGTATATTATACCTGTTGCGCCGCCAACGACACAGAAATCCACGGGGATTCGGAATAAAAAAACCCGAACCCTGTCATTGGCGATACAGCATACCGTGATTGTAAGTTCGTGAGAACGTTGAGAACGATAAAGAAATGACTCTAGTATTGAAACATAAAAATATAACGTATCCTTTCTTATAAGTTCTTTCGTCATTCTTGCTACATATATGCTCCAAAATCTTTGGAGTGAAATCTCACTCTTAAAAATTGACAATTAAGCCACTTTTTTCAATGCTGGTTCAATTGTCATTCTTTAGAATTAAATTTCACTTCAAAGATTTTAGAGTGATATACGTAGACATATTTTTTTCCTTTATAAGGTACGTTTCGTTTCCACGCTCACACGCTGTAAGCATTCCTTGTCTACCAAATATTGAACAAGGACAAATGATGCTTACACAAGCGCTATAAACGCAAAACGTACCCTTAATATTTATTCACATTCGCGAACTCACGAACAATAGGATATTGTCATACCGTGGTAGTCAACGTCCAATAGAATAATTATACATATCTATTTAATAGACGCTTACCAAAATAACTCGATTAAATCCCTAATATAAGAATAGCACAACACAGAATTGTATAGAAATGTAAAACATTCTGACAGTATTTCATCAGCGTATGGTTGATTCGAAGAATGAGTCTATGAAATATGTAATAAATGTATGTACAGTACACAAATTATTTCCCTCATATTTGTGCTTCCTCTTATGTAAACAAAGTTGGAATCTTTAAAGATGCTTGAGTCTCAATTTCCTTTCTTTTCTTTTCTTTCGTTTAGTTTGTGACATTAAAAGATATCTTCTGGATTGAAACGTATTTAGAGGTAATGTTATTACTTGTAACGTCCAAACTTTTTCGTTAATAAATGATATTGTTATATGCGAATCGTGAAATACTAGAAAAAGTCGTAAACTTGGACTAATAAAAAGATACGAATGTTATTTTTCGTATGAATTGTCACATAAGTGTTGAAAGTGTTTGCAAATAATTCCTCGAGAGTGTCTTTTCAACTATCGTGGATGGTCATTGTACAAGTATCGAAGTGTTGCAAAAGAAAAAATAAAATCGTATTATACATGTAGTTGGGCATTGTGTTAATTTTACGCCACACACAATCGTGTCATTTACCCCACCATAGATTAATACACCATACCTTACCTTACTCATTTTACTCACTTGTCAGTAATTATAAGGAAGAGCAGATAGATTTCACGCAAGTGGAAGAAATTACTGTTGAAATAAACGGTCATGAAATAATTCACGATATTATGTATTTTAAATATTTATTCCTTTTTTTCATTCAAAAGGACAATTTGTTTTTATTATAAGATAACATTATCCTAAGCATCTTCGAGGGTTCGACACCCTACCGTACCTAAATTATTCTTTATATAACATCTTTTGTTTCCTCTCTTACGATTTTCCTACCGATTACATCGCAGGCAACTCCGCGGTTTCTCTTAAATTGGCTTTTCGTCCGTTGTCGCAGCCAATCGAATCGTTACCATGCCCGGCTTTATTCATTTCTCTCGTTTACCTCGCATCTCGTTTTATATACTGACTTTATACAAATTGGTTTTGAAATTTTTTATGGCATTTTACCGTCGGTGGTGAACTAAGGTGATAAGCATTCTCACATGTCAAGCATCATTGGATTTAATCCATTTCGAGCCTCTTTACGAACATTCGCGATACAAAATAAAATAATAAGCTCCATTATTCTTGAAATGGGGAGATATTTATTATTCCGTTGGAACGGTAAATACTTGAACTCTTTAATCTTTTTCAGAATGCAATGGACGCGACGTAATCACGCATACAAATCTCGTAAAACAAGTTGTTTTGTAAAAAAAACAACCGTATAACAGGGCTCGTGTGTCTAGATACTAAGGCACCAACCAAGATCATCATGTAATTAATTATATAATTTCATCCTGTGATTAACTATATATGTATAACATCATTAAGTAATTAATTATACAATTTCATCATGTAATTAATTATATAATTTCAGATTAGAGAATTATCAATAAAACTGCAACACTTGGAGAAAGATTGCAATCAACAATGTGATTCAACAAACTGAAAAAGAGGGCAATGAACGACGTCCATTTGCGACATATATTTGTTAGGTAATTGATATTTTCACAGTAAAATTCTCGATTCATATTGGTATGTCGCATATCTAAACACATAACGTACGTAAAGTTTCTTCCGGAATTCGTAGCCTGAGAGGCTAATCACCCGAGCCCTAACGAGGACACCGGAGAGAACAAAAGAAACTATCGTTAATAATGCTACGCGAAACAAAAACTTGAATTACACGTTAACTTGGAAGACACGAAGGAATCGAATCGTGTCATGTACAGACTACGATAATAATAATTCACAAATGTATGTATATTATATCACGATTGATTGTCAATCGAATCCTTTCATGCTATGTTGCAAAAACGATATACCAATTAGCGACGTTAGCATAACAAGTAACCAAATATGCATATGTACGTTTTCAATTTTCATACGCGTGTCTTAATCCCGAGACCAAGATATCAATGACTCGTCCCTTGCTGAGAAATATTCCGATGGAAGTATGCGTGCGTTTATTGTTATTATTATCGTTAGACTTAATTAAATTACATTTATTTATTTATAATTCTTCGGTCGGCTAGGTCGTCTATACAAACGGCGAGGAGTTATTAACATTATGGTATACGACGGAGTACGTTAATACCAATATCTCTTCGGATCTCTAACTATACTCATTTTTAGCGACGCAACCAACCCCTATATCTATTCTTTTTCTTTTTCAAAACCACGGTGAATATTCAGTATAAAAAAAACCATCGCAATTTTTATTCGTTTCACATTCAAGAGGGTGATCCACTCAATACTGCAAATACTTCATTGATCAATTGGAAGAGAGAATTAATCAATCAAAGAATGCTTTGAAGCATTTGCAGCGTTAAGTTGATCGCATTCTGAATATAATTTTCGAAATACACTGAAAACATGATGGAAATTTAGAGGAGACCCAATGTGCTAATTAACATACAACGTCGCAGCAATTAATGTATTTGAGCTTGCACTCGTACAAGGGAATCTCGATTCACTGATGTCTTTAGCAAAAAAACACTTGCTCGCGCGCGCGCGCGCGCACGCACGCACGCACACACACACACATACACACACACGCACGCACGCGCACGCACATGCGTATGCACACGCATACTTTTTCTCTTTCTCTCTTCTATTATTCTTCTTTGAAGAGAATTATAGCAAAATTTTATACATTAACCACCGACGATAAATATCACACAACGAGACAAAGTTGTAACTCGTTACTCAACTCTCGCAGAATTTATTTGTTAGGGAGCCCCGCACACCTCAGCATACACGCGTCCAAAAGTCTAGCTACATCACAGGCGCCGTGTCTAGCTAATCGCTCTTCTACCTTACTAACTATGTCCAATATTAGCAATACTCTCCTTATTTATCTCAAATGAACATTTGTCGCGCACGTTGTTCATCGACAATCCGAAATTGAAGAGGGAGATGTGAGAGTCCAGATATCAGTGGCAAAAATATTAAAAAGGTATTAACAACGCAAAAAATTGCTGCATACGTACGTCACTTGCGCAGCACAACGGATGCGGGGCTCGGTTGAGTGGGGCTCGGGGGCCGCGAGGAAAAGTTTGGAGATATACCTGATTCAACGTCGCGCATACATACATACATACATACATACATACATACATGCATACATACATGCATACATACATACATACATACATACATACATACATACATACATACATACATACATACATACATACATACATACATACATACATACATACATACATACATACATATACATATATATATATATACACACACATATATATGTATATATATTCGAAGCCGAAATCGTGAAATTCGATCAAATTCTAGCACTAGGACGTGCAGCGGTATTATGGTGCCATTGTACAAGTATCATCGCACAAAGCATCGTCATTACGCGAGACTTATACGTCTCAATATTCTATGACAGAAAAAGAAAATTATAATAATGTCTTCAGCCGTTGAACAAATCGATTGTGTGCAGAAACACAGAAAGGAGAGAGAAAAAACCGCCAGCATGCCATAGTCTTTTTTCTTTTTCTATTTAAAAAAATCGATTTAAATGAAATCTCATTAATCGTGGAAACGATTAGTTACACCATAGAAAACTCGAATGTAAATGTTGAAATAGGTATATGTCGGAACGATTTTCGCGATAACCCCGGGACAATTATATCGTACGTAACAATTAGCCGGTCAATGATGAGTTTCATTGCGTAGGGTACTGATGTGGCATGGTATATGTTACCATAGTGGGCTGTTGGCCCGGAGGCAAGGGTGCACTCGCTGTCGGCGGTGCCGCGGTGGCTTGCGTCGGTTGCCAGGCTCCCGCGCCTGGAGTGGGCATCCTCATGCTGTTCATATACTGAGCCTGTTGCCCATAATATTGACCATAGTATTGCGCAGGCTGCAAGAACTGTCCCTGCATCTGCGGATAGCCCTGTGGATACCAATAACTCATCTGCTGGCCATAACCATACGCGTATTGTCCCGCTCCCGCTGTCACCTGTTTGATGAAAAAACTTGTTACATCTATGTTTTTATGAAATTCATGTTGTACACACATGGCAAATAATATGAATGTAAAACATGTATAAATTATATTAGCCAATACGAGATGAAATAATTTGCATAGATTATGAGAATGTCTCTCTCTCTCTCTCTCTCTCTCTCTCTCTTTCCCCCCCTCTGTCCAAAACATATAAACAATTACCTGTTGAGCTTGATGATTTGCATTAGGACCCACACTGTTTGGATCACCGTTTTCTTTTCCCCAAAAACATTTAACGATGCTACCATTGATTTCTGTATTATGCGTCGATTCAATGGCATGTGTCGCAGCTTCCTTGGTTGTAAACTTGATAAAGGCATATCCCTTGTCTTTGAATACTCTTATGTCTTGAATGGTACCAAAAGGTGAAAAGGTTTTCTTTATCAGCTCATCCGTGATACCGTTCGTAAAACCTCCGCAATATACGGTACAATTGGTCGGACTACTTTGGTTATATACCTGTTAAGAAAAGGAGACGTTAAGATTGAACGTTTTAAATTTGGCATGGAGAAATGAGCGAGAGAGATAACGGATTCTCTTGCTTTCTCTCTGTGGCAAACGAAGCCACGTTATAAGCAGCAGTTTATCCACGGTCGATTTTTACGTTAGATCCAATCGTCGAGCGTGACCAAGAGAAGAGTGACATCATAGAGACTTAAAATCCAACGATAAAAAAACGGAGGATAGAGGAGCAAAAAAAAAAGAAAAAAGGTACTCAAAGTGTCTTGATAACGTACTTCCTCGTAGTTTGGTTTACTATTGTTGGAATGCCGCGGCCTTTCAGACCTCGGTGGCGGAGGTTTCCTAGTGGACCAGTTGGTCCTAATGCTGCGCGAACCCAGCCACTGGCCGTTCATCGCGTTAATCGCCGCTTCAGCCTCGGATTTTTTGACAAATGACACGAACGCGTAGCCCTTGCTCTTGAGCGTCTGTGGGTCGCGGACGATTCTGCAGTTGCTGATCTCGCCGAAGGGCGCGAATGCCTCCTTGAGAGTCTGCGTCTCGATCTCCGGCGAGAGATCGCCGACGAATATGTGGTGGTGGTTGCTGGTATCGAGTTTCGGCTGATTGCCTGGACTGGTCGCCCAGTTAACCTTCATCTCCTTGTCGAGGAAGGAGCGCTTGTTCATGGCGGCCAGCGCCGTGGCCGCGCACTGGTGGTTCGTAAACTCGACGAAGGCATACGGATCGTTGCCGGGCTCCCGGATGATCTTGCATCCCTTCACGGCGCCGATTTGCGAAAAGAGCGCACACAAAAGGTCCTCGGATACCGAGGTGTCCAGGTTGCCCACGTACAGCGTACGTGGATTACTTTCCTCGCTCATGTTCGTACGCGCTGCTTGGCGCTGCTACGGACGCACCGCCGCGACGAACGCACTTTCACTTTTCGCTCGCTCGCTCGTCCTCGTCCGTCCGTCAGTTTGTTTGTCGTTCGATCGTTTGCTTGCTTGCTTGCTTGCTTGCTTGCTTGCTCGCTCTCTCGTTCGTTCGTTCGTTCGTTTCGCCCGTTCGTACACTTTCCCCTCTCGCCGACGGCCGAAGCTGTTCGCCCTTCACAGCCTCCACGCGTTACACTGCGTTACACGCGTCACACAGCTAAACGGCACGAGCACGAGCCACGACTATCCGCGGGAAAGCGATCGTTGCGGCGACAGTGGCAACTTGACGTCACTCGCGGATGAGCGTTCGCGATCATCAAACATTCGGGCACTTACCAGACACCGACCTGTTAGTTTTTTCTTCGCGCACAACCGACAATAAGAACGCTAAGCTACACCCAGCCTCTACGTCATACTAATACATAAAATGGCCGCCCCGCGCCTCACCGCGCCGCGCCACTTCGCAACCCGCTTTCCCTTTGACTCGCGCCGCGCCGCGTCGAGCCGCGAATGCAATGGGAACAAATTGTTAACGTGAAAAACGCGCTCGCTTTTCCACAAATCCTGACAAATCCTGCCGGCACGGAACCGCGCAGATCGAACTTGCTCTCTCTCTCTCTCTCTCTCTCTCTGGCGTGCGCGCGCGCCCGCGCTCGCGATCAACCTGACGTGACTTGACGACTAAAAATCGGAACTACCGACAGTATCGACGCTCGACCACCTCGATGCTTAAAATTCGCCCAAGAGACACGTGTTTTTGTATCACCCGTCGAGCTGTCGTAATCGTAACATTCGTAACAAGTAACACGAAAACTCACGCGAACCATGCCCCCATTAGCCTTGCGAAACTCGCTAGGTATTATTCCTGAGTAATGAGTATTCCAATCTATTCTACGTCTACGATGTTCATCACAACGGAAATCTAGCTATGGAAATGATGCTTTATGACCTAGTTTACATCGTGTACTTGATACGGATACTAACTAGTAACTTTCTATTGAGTTATTTTAATTTCGGCGATACGTGAAAACATATATATAATATATGCATTTAATTAATCATTTTGATGCATACTGTACCAATTTAGTACATCATTCTTTGAATCCATATATTGCTAAAATTAAAATAATTTAATAGAAAGATACTAGTTAGTACCCGTATCAAGTACATGTTGCAAACTAGATCTATGACCCCTTTTATGCCTAGTTTACATTGTGCACTTGATACAGCTAGAGTCCTAGATATCAGAGAAGCGCAACCGGTGTTCCGCATTCTGATTCGCTGTTACAGTCACGTGGCTTGGCAGCCATTTATAATACTAGTGACATACTTCTATTTCATTTTATCCTACAATTCTATCTCACATTATCTTACACGTTCTATCCTAGGCAAATGAAAGTTTTATGTTACCATTTTTTATGCGTAAGTTTAAACATTTTAATTGCATATAATGATGTATATGTGCTTTGGCACATAAGATTATTGTTTAATCTTTTAAAATATTATTTACATAGGCTGCTTTCCTTTTAGGAGACACAAATCGACACAGTATAACACTCAAACACAGTTTGTCACACATACTCTGACTCTCCTCTCGAGCAGAGGCGAAGTGTGTCGAGTTTGATAAAAAATTGTAAATGGAAAAAGATGTGTGTCGATTTGTGTCTCCTAAAAGGAAAGCAGCGATAGAAGAATGTAACATAACCTCGGAACTCAATGATTTTTATGAGAGTATGAATACAAGGATTATTGCCACAACACTTTATGATTATATTATTTTCTCTTTAATTAGCGATATGGTAAAAAGATGCTCAGCTCCGGACTGTCCGATAAATGCAGGACAGAAAATTTATATGCCATATTTTCTCAAGGATTCTAAGTACCGTGAAATATGGAAAAAAAGAGTTAATCGAGGTCCAAATTGGTCTCCTGGCAAGACTGGAGTTCTTTGTGAAGTAAGTGTAAACTTTAAATTTTTCCTAATATTTGTTTTAAAATATTGTATGTATAATTACACATATATACTCGTATGTATAAACAATTATTTCTTTTATTAATAGTTTCATTTTGAAGAAGATCAATTTGAACAAATGAGAGTTGATGGGAAGAAAAAATTAAAATCACATGCTGTGCCTAGTAAATTTGTAAGAAAGAATCAGAGTATTACTGAGCATTCCTACG